AACCTGGCGGCCCGTCACAAAAAGCATTTCCAACAAACTACACACAGTCATCAACAACTGCCACATACACTGGCTCGTTACTGAAGATCAGATGGATTGCCGGAATAATAAGAATAAGCAACAAGGAACTCTGATCGGGAAACGAACCAACCAAGAACCAATCGGTCAACAAATATGCATGAGGGAGTGGAGATGGATTGAGGATGCAGTGAGAAGGCGGACTGTGGGAGATCATGCGCTATGTCAGGTGAAGTGCTTGAGTGGAACGCAGATGGGAAGGGCTAGTTGAGCGTCGGATGTGAGGGTGACATTGAGGGGATCATGTGAGGATGGAATGGGAGGTTGTGGGCTGTCATGGAGCCACGTTCAACGGATTGCGGAGAAGAGATTTGGATGGAGCCGTATGTTCCACTAGGAACCCAGGGGATAAATAATAGTAATAATGATAATGATAATAATAATGGTAATAACAGTGCGGATACTCAAAGGATGATTTCAGATAAAAAGCCATTCCTCTTCAGATTTGTTTTTTCTCCATTTTGACGAGTTAACCATTTAGTTCTTCTAACACTTGGCTAAACAATACACTAATTATAACCAGTGTTTTCAGAGAAAATTCATATAGCAAAAAAAAGACTTACACTGATTGACAAAATCAACGTAGACCGTCGCACAGAAGTGCATCAGCTCAATTTGCCACACTTCACAGTAGTACACGAAGAAAAAGTGGATAGAAAAAGACTGACATTAAATTCGACAAAGTTGTGTGACAAATTAAGAATTTGAAGATGAAAGTTAGTACAAATATTTAAGCTTTAGTAGATGTTAATTAGTGAATATATCTGTGCCATTGTCATCGATTTTCAGCCCTGTCACAAACATTCCTCAACCACTGATTCCTATCGTCTTGAGGACGGCAACTAGGCAGTCCAAATCTTTCAACATGGCCCAGACCAACAGTCAGGGACCTCATCGAATGATGACACGTGTTTGTCTGTCCACCTTGAACCCTTTTCCAACCTAATCCATCTCCCCTCATCATGACAAGTTCAGGTAGGTGATGGCTAAGCATGCGCAATACTTGTTCGAGCTACCTCAGTCGACTTCACCTGATTTCAACATTGCTCACGTGGTGATTCCACCAAACGCCAGCAATGCTACAAAGGTACCTATGATCGAAGCCTTGCAATCATCGAAAAAGAGGAAATAAATACGTTTAGATAAATCGTGAAATGCTGCCAATTTTTTTCTAATTTCGAGATACTACAGTAGATTTAGCAGATCAAGATGGAAATTGTTTGGCTTTCTTCAAGCATTAGTGTTTGTTCTTGGATGTTTCATCACCAGACTAGGCGACATCAAAAGAATTTACTTTATAACGCAGTGAAGCATTTTCAAGTTGCATCAATATTTGTGAAATATAATTGTCAGCCTTGAGAGTTATTTTCTAGTGGGTGGAAATGATGCCTTATTTTTTTAATTTGAGGGTTTATGGGGATTTACTAATTTTATAAGTTGGTATTCATCGTGGACTGACATCAGTTGAAGGAATATTGGAAACATTTGGGCACTGGACATCCGTTTCATCCTACCATGGGACACCTCAGCAATGCGCACCCAAGACCTCACTGGGGAGAGAACCCAGAACCTTCAGGTTCCGTGGCTCAACAGTAACGCACTGATCACGGAATCTGAAGGTTGTGGTTTCTATCCCCAGCGGGGTCGTGAGCGTGCACTACTGAGCAGCCCCATACTAGGATGAAACAGCTGTCTAATGATTCCGGCTGAATTTACTTGCAACCAGGTAAGTGATGTTGTTCCCACCGAGGCTCGAGCCAACGGTAAATGAAAAGTATCATTACAACAACTGACACTCGTTGCACAAGAGGTGGTTATTGCGCCTCAGCGGTCTAGTGGATAACGTTCTGCAGTTTGAGGTGAAGGACTAGGGGTTCGAGCCGGTGGGGCAACATCACACACTGGGATGCAGATACACCAGCCGACGAGTCCCAAATTGGACGAAACGCGCTTCTTAGATTCCTCCGCTAGTCATCAAGATCATAACATCATAACATAATGAATATCCGGCAGTATCGAATCATCCACATGGGAGCCCATCTGCCAATAGAGGTCGAGCAATTCGGTTCAGTATAGCAACGGGAAATTACAAGTATCATTACAAACGTAACTACTTTTAGAAACTGGGATGTTAAACACCGAATTATTGAGCAGGTTAAATGAGCATATGATCAGTTCTTTAGACAGTCATCACTTACTTGATTATTCTAACTTCATTTACTTAACATGAATGATATTATAACCAAGCGTCTTGTAGCTCAGCTGCTGGTACATATGACTGATAATCCCAAGGTAGCTGGTTAGAATACTTCCGTCACGCAGGTTCTCATCAACCCTATTAACAATAACAGTCTTTTAGACTACAGTGACGTTAGACAATCTCATCAATAATGATCATTTCCTATCTAAATTAATACAGTATTTGTGCAATTTTTGTATGTTTAATTGTTGAAGTCATGTAAAGTTTTTAGGCAGTTCATGTGAAACCTCAAAACAGGATTAAATCATTTCCTTTTGAAACATTTACGAGGCGGAGTTCAGGTATAAAGTACACAACTACAAGAAATCATGTACTACCCCATCGCTCTTGGCAGATCTAGCAATGTGATGTCATGAGAACACCATTAAAGCATATGAAATGTTAGGTACCCCGGTTGAAGAAATAATGTCTTTATTCTTTATGTCCAACATACTCCAACAATCCGATACATCGGTTACCCAAATGAATAGAAATACTGTCTGAACTATGCAACCTAGGAGCGATACCACAAGGTTAGCCTAAATGCAGTTTGCTAAGAAGTCAAGTGCATGTGGGGCCAGTGAATAGCAAAGTAAACTGGATCCCTAAAACAGTGTAAAAATGGTAGGGATATGTACTTGTTGCAAGTTCTGAACTGATTAGAATGGTGATATGAATAAACAATTCTACATTTCTAATCCTTTAATGGGATGAAATAACCTTTTCTCTATACCATCTAGAAAATTCTGTGATCTTTTGTAGAGTACACTAAATTAGCCTTCTGAAACTGTGTTTCTATTGCCCTAAGATGAAATTTTGACTTATCTACATTCACCTTCATTGAGCCATAATTGTACGTTTGGAAATGAAGGCTGAACAGTCTGTGTTTAGGTGGAGGTCATTCATTGATTAGTTACATGGAATATGTCTGCAACCCCTTCATTAACTCTGCTTTTAAGATATTCTCTCATTTTGAGTTGATTTGAAATTAAATTCAGCTTCTCTATCTTAACATTAATAGGTATCAGCTAATTAGGTTTATCATAAAAATAATTGTCTGAAAGTTTTATCTCAGCAAGTATTTTCAATAGAAACTACTCTAGGAACTTAAATTCACTTCTTAATCTTTTAGGTGGAGATTCAGGTAAGTATAGAATAGATAGAATTTTTTTTCTCGTTACTGGAATTCATTTGTTTGTTCATTCTATGTGAAAGAGTCTTTTAAACATTTCGTTTTCACTTCCTGTTCTGAAAACATAGAAGAATTATATGAATGAGTTCACTTTATTTCAGTTAATCGTCGTGAAAGAATGACATCCGTTGAAAGAATCCAAATTATTATTACATGTAGTATGATCGAGATCATGTTGTAGTACATAATCACTACAAAAACCAATGGTTTACAAGTGAAAGATTTCAAGTTGTTATTCATCGCAGAGTGACATCAGATGGAGGAACAAAGGAAACCTGGGAGCACTGGACAACTGTTTCGTCCTAGTATGAGACTCCTCAGCAGTGCGCATCCACAACCCTACCAAAGATCAAACCCGCGACCTTCAGGTTCCGTGGCCAGCACGTTACCATTGAGCTACTAGATCACAATCGAAATCCCCATAACTCCCTCAAAATTCAAATGAACTATTTTTCATTAGCGACTAGCTTCAAGAGGTATTCTCGAAGTCCCAATGAGAAGTCGTGACCGGTGGGGCCAAGGCCTGATGGTCGTGAGGATAGTTACTCAACGAGGATACTGGGTGGCGGTTGCACTATGGCTCAGTGGTAACGTGCTGGCCACGGAACGTCAACTTCGGGGGTTCGATCCCTGGTGGGGTCGTGAGTGCGCACTGTTGAGGAGTCCGTACTAGGATGAAACAACTGTCCAGTGCTCCCAAGTTTCCTTTAATCGTCTAACTGATGTCAGTCTACAATGAATAACAACTTGAAATATTTCCAAATCCCCACAAGTCCCTGAAAATATAATGAAAAATTTAAAGAGTAAATAATTTTCTATGAAGATATAAACTCTTAGATACCATTAAGCAACATAACAAATAGTAAATATTATAAATTATATCCCTACAATTATCTTCAACATTTTTGTGATCTACGCATATACTACATAACTTTCAAAGGGAAAGATAGCTATAGAACAAGAGTAAAAATTATTTCTGTTGGGGTTGACCAATCGCTAAGGTAATTAACTTATATATTTTTATATTATCATTGTAAAGTTTAAGCCTTATTTTCGCGCCTTTTTTTGCAGCATGTTATGTTTCTTATTTTCACCGCAGTTTAGAATGATAAATGTTGATTGTTCGATTTTACACTTTGAACATGCTATTTTCTTTTCTTTGGCCAAATCCATTTAAGGATATATAAACGACTGAGCTTTCACTTATTGCATTCAGTTAGAGTAAATAAATTTTCAGTCTCATCGTCTTCTTCTGATATCGGTTGAATATCGAGTTGAGAAGTCATTGTCCTATCGTTAATCGTATTCGTCTCAGAGCGTCGCATCGATATATATATATATATATATATATATATATATATATATATATATATATATAACAGCGTAGGACCATTTGAATTTCTTATAATGAGGTGCCAAAAAAACAATATGGTAGAAAATAATGAAATTCAATCCTTAAAATAAAAGAGTATTATCAAGAAAGAGACTGACCTAAAGAATATAAAGACCTCGAAAAATGAATTATGAGGTTAGCAGAACTTTCTCTAAAGAAACTAGTATGCAAATAAAAGAATATTTTAGTATATATAGTAAAAGTAAAACTTTGAATAAACATAAATGTCATCTGATAAGCTTGCAAATTAAATTCAATGCTAGAATAAAAAAATAAGATAAACTTTTCATTTAACCTCTTAAAATGTAAAATATAAAAGGTGAACACTGCAACCAGAAATCCTTGAATCATTTAGAAAAAAAAATAATGAGTAGTACTGCAAGAAAATATGATGTTAGTGAGAAAATAGAAACTAGTGAAATGCTTAAAATAACTGATACATAACATGAAGAAGCCTAACGGGAAAAGATAGGTAGTTTGTATGCTATGTGATAACCGATCCAATCAACACTAAATATATTCAATAGAAATGATTCTGTACCTATCACAGACAACAACATTGGATGACGTGGGTTGCGATCTCAGAGGCGACACAAGATCCATCGACGTTCCAGATGCATCTTGCTGACGATATTCAACATGCAAAAAAATATAAATGCATGGCTTCCTGTCCGGTGCCCCGAACCAAAGAATATCTATGAATCAGTACAGAAGGTTTGTTGCTCTGGATGACGATCTCAATTACTGTCACTGAAGCACTAATATATATTCATGCAACTGCAAAATGAGTCACTTCATGAAGTCGATGCTCACCTAAACTCATACTCTGATAATGCAAAGTCTGAAAACAAAATTAAAGCGGTGAGGATTCCAAACCAAAAGGTAGCATCACCCAATGACTCCAAGCTTGAACAACCGAGGGAACAATACGCTACTAGGTTTGTTTACATGAGATCCCTCCCTCCAGCCTCTACCACACACTGTATGATATGGTTCAGAAATGACGAAATCAGTAAAGATGCACTTAGGTAATAACTGCACAGTAAAAAACCTCATGATGTCCACTAGTAGAAGCCAACATTCAACATACACCTCATCTTCATCTATACCGTAATGTCACATTGCATCACTCACGTTTACTCCTCGTATCCGTCTCCCTTCATTTCATGCATTTCAAGAAGAAGCACAAGACACTGGATATCCGTTTCCCAATACGAAGAAACAAACACTCATCATTTCCACCAACATCTCAATTCACATCTTCACATCTACTCCACCATGCAAACAATCAGCCTAATTAGCCGGAAGTCAGATCGCCTAATCCTTATTCACTTCTTCTATGCAATAGTCCTGACTGACTAGCCAGTTTCAATATAATCAGGTGGTAGTAACGTGTCACAAATTCACATGACAGTTGGGCGAAACCTTGGTGATTGAAGTGAAGTGAAAATGTGGTCAGTAGTCAAATGTCACAGCTCACTTGATAGAGTATCAGGCTGGAAACTCGATGGTGGCTCGTCGAATATCGACGCACTCCAAAGTTTCATTTCACCTTCAATCATCACCCAATATCAATCCCAACCCAATCTGTTAGTTGGTTGGAGGCAATCGGCAGGAAGCCCTGCTTCACTTAGGTTTCGTGCTTTTCGGCACTCGTCAGCAAGGCGTATCTGCAACCTCGACGAAACTGATTTCCCCTTCGGAGATTCAAACCCGCCTCACCAAGTGTTGTAGTCAGCGACTTCACCACTGAGCTATGAAATTGGTTACACTCCCCTGACCAATCAATACACACCCAATCTGTCTCAAACAACCACCATTTTATTCACATTGTCTGAAACACAACTCACCAAATCACGATTCATGGGTAAATCCCTCAATTCATCTTCCTAACACTCACTCCTATTTCACTCAAACAAATCTCCACACACACACACACACACACACATTCACACCCTTTATGAATATATTATAAGTGACCTCAATTAGACCGAATTTCATCGCCTCAACACATCGAACACTACCACCACATTAGAAACCATAATATGATCATCATCATCATCACCACCACTTTGAGTGTTAGAATTAGCATTGTGAGGCATTATGACAATGAGATATGGCATATAATTAACCGTGATTGTGAAATTTATCCATGTATCCTCAATTAGACCTTATATCTACGTTTGTCACTCGTTTATCTGACCATTGATTCTGTACTTTTGCTAATTGTCGAGTAAAATGAGCATGAAATAATTGGTTCCAGAAACTGAAGGACAGGTGAACTGCCCTGTAGTTATAAACATGCATAAGCATGCTCAAAGTATTAATGAGAATCATATGTGGAAAGGTGTAAATTCCATTCGCAAAAATCTTAAGCTAAGTAGAAGCAAGAAAGATGATAATGTAAAGATGAAGAAGAATAGTATCTTTAAAATGATGAAATATCGACGTAAAAACGTGAGGCAAATACTATAGAAGTAGGAAATATGGACCACTGGATTTCGACCTAGGGATTGAAGGGTAATGTGTTGACCACCAAACTTGAAGCTGTAAGGTTCGATAATTTGCAGAGCCATGTGTGCGCGCTTTTAAGTTTAATGCTAGAACAAAATACCTATTTGGTGCTTTCAGGTTTCCATTGTTTCTCCAACCGATACCGATCCATGACGATCACCAGCGTGAAATAAATAGATACAGTTTAAAAAGTTTGTTGACCGAATTTCTTAGATCACAGTATAAGGCTAATCCCTGTATGCCTGTCTCAGACGAATAAGCAAATTTCGTCTCAGACAAGTGTGATAAAAGCCAGTGACCTTTCCATAGCCTCCGTTTCGAACTTTCATGATGTGTAACCAGGAATAAAACAAAATGAACTACTATTCGTTGGTACTTGTAATTCTTCATTCTTATACAAGATCGAATTGATCGGCTTCAGATTGCATATGGGCTAGTATGAGGACTCCTTGATATTGCCTGAATTTTCATTGTCAATTTATAATGTAATATTCAGACAGTATTGAGGCGTCCGCATAGAAGCCCATCTACCAATATAGGTCGATCTTGGATTCCACTACTAGTTATTATCAAACCAATTATAAGAAATTGCTTCTTTTTTTAATTACTTCTGTAGTCATTCAGTCAGTGAGTCATACATTGTCGCTTTCATTCAGAGCAGATTAAGTTCTTTCTGTTCAAACATAAAAGATAAATTCAATGGCTTAATTTTTCACTTTTCAAGTTTTTAATCTCGTTTCAATATGTTTTCGTTTGAGCTTCTCTAAAACTTGTACTTGATTCGATTTCAAATCAGAAACGATATTCATCAACAACTACCTACGCTGGCTCTATACTGACATTGAAGATCAGATTAACAGAAAGAATAAGCAACAAGGAACTCTGGCAACAACCCAACCAGGAACCTATCACTCAACAAATATGCATGAGGAAATGGAGATGGATTGGGCATACAGTGAGAAGGCCGACTGCGGACATCACGCGCCAGGCCAGGCACTTGGGTAGAACTCAGATGGGAAACGACGAGTTGGGCGTGGAGATCGTGCGAGGAGGAAATGAGAGCTTGTGAGCTGTCGTGGAGCCAGGTTCAATAAATTGCAAAGAAGAGAGTGGAGACTTGATACTGAAGCTGTATGTTCCACTAAGAACTCAAGGGAAAAATAATAATAATAACAATAATAATGAAGATAAGAAGGATAGTGAGTTAGCATTCTTTAAGCTTTGATATTTTGTCCTGAGTGTTTCATGACCACTTTATAAAGTCAGCGCTAAGGACGTCACCATACCCAGTGATGAAACGTCCACAACAAAACGCTAAAGCTCAAAGAACACTAAATCCTTATCGCTGACCTGATGGGTTCCTGCTGATTGACTCCTATCACTCAACATAAAAAGTTGGAATATATCAAAAAGGGTGCTACGAAAATACTTCATCATAAACTAGGTCATTCATAAAGTTTTGTCTGCTACATTTATTTTATTGTTAGCTGTAGTGCTTTCGTTTAGGTTACAGAATAACTTTTGATGAAAAAACTGATTAATCGAAGTCAGTGTTACACTGAGTGATTCTTATCATTATATCTCCAAAATGTTGAATAGTAATGTAGGCTTTCAGTATTCTGGAATGGTTATTTCGGTTATCTTCATTTCAGTAAACAGTTAGTTACAAACCCTTACACGACTGCTTGAGATTGATCAGCAAACAATATATTCTTCTGACGTCAACTATAATTTTCAACAGTATAAATGACTTCTTGATCCACAAGATCATGTAAAGCTTTAGATCATGTTGTTTAACATCAGTGATATGTCCTTTATTATACCTATATCCCAAATCTTATTGTCTTAGCTACAATGACAGTTTTATTAGTTTATCATGGAAAGTAGCTTAGCAATTCAGTAGACGTATCAGAATCATTAACATTCTCCACAGTTGTATCAATCATTTACACACAGAGTTGTCGCATCGTCAAGTCACTGTCGGATGAATCAGCTAACTAAATGAAAAAGATTTGAACTTATCCTTCTCCGTTCATACTTTAAGTTGAAAACAAACAGTTAAGTAGTGGTGATAGATAGTGGCTATCTGTGGAATCCAGAACGCGAGTTTTTTCAACCTTGGGATTCATCAGCTAGGTGTATCTATCTCCTAGTGAGTGATGTTGTTCCCATTGAGTCTCGAAACAGTACTCATCGCTTCGAACATCAAAGTGTTATCTACTAGGCCTCTGAGGCATGATACGCAATAATATAATCATACAGTTAGGTTTAATTCAAGGATTACATAAACTTTGATAATGCTATTAGAAGACAAAGATTATCTGAACAATATGTGATGTATTTGCGCAATATATTCTGAGCAATCTAATCACAAGCATTTACTTGTCAAGTCAATTTATATGTGAAAATTGAAGGTTGAACCTAACGAATGTGAAAAGGTTATGACACTAGTCTTGGTAATATAATCAGAGAAGGATAGTCAAGATGAATTAAATGAAACAATAAATATTTTACGCACATTCAACGGGGGCTTAAGTTTACGAATGACCGACGCTTCGGCAAATTTCAGTATGCACCGCTGAGTATTTCTACATTATATCTTGAGTACTGTTTTCGTACTAACCTTATGATTCATTTCCATGATATGTTTTGCTATAGATGAAGATGGATGTTTGTCACCTGGAATTATCAAAGTTTGTGTATTAAACTGTTTTTCAAGCCATTTAAGTATATGTTCACTCATCCTAGTCTGTATTGACAATTACTCCTCCCTATGTATGTGCGCCCACACAAACATGTAAATTGTTAAACACAGTCAGATATGACATAGTCACGGT